TCGCGGTCACGTTGAACAGCACAATCTCGCCGGATGGAGCCAGCCCGGTTGCGATCGCAGCGATCCGAGGGGCATCAGCACCTCTCCATGGCGACAACCGCAACAGCCTCTGATACGTATCGATCTTTTCGCCAGGCTTGGGTTTCTGGATATTCTTGAACAGTGACGTCCGGGATAATGCCGTCGTCGTCCTCGGGCGTTTTTCTTCTTGCGGCTTTTCGCCATCTGCATGATCGGCGGATTTCCGCGGCGGGTATTCCAGCCGGAACGATCTCAGATGCTGGTTGTTTCCCCGCTGCTGTTCAGCCTGGGAGCTGTTGATGCCGGCCAGGGCAACGATCGACTCATCATCGGCCAGCGCGACTGCCAGCGACGTGACGGAATCCTCATCTCGCGACAGCTCGATGTCCACGACTTCGGAAATCTCGTTCCGTTTCGACGTGTTCAAAAGCGCCTATTTATTTTTTAATTCCAACTTCCAGTTAGTCACGGTAACCTTTGCTCGCAGGATATATTCCTGCGCATAGTGGGTAGTCTGTCTACCTACGATCTTGTTTCCGACACCGCTGCGGCCCTCCCCTCCGCCACCCCCGACGAGGAGAAAGCCATTGTTGCGGGGGTCGAAATCGGCCGCGAAGAGCGGACAGGAAAGGGTGATCTTGGCGGACGAGATGTGTGGAGCCATAGGGCGTCCGTCCTGTTCTGTCGCACCGTATCCTAGGTTGATTTCTCCAGTGGTAATAATGGTTGGCGGTGGTGAGGAAGGAGGACTAGAATAGTAAAAGAAAGAAAGACGTGCACTCGCTCCTTAAGACAGATTCATGATAGGTAGATAGGCAGACATATCGTGAGAACAAGAAATGCGGAAGGCCAGGTGTCGAGTCGAGGCCAGCGCATCGATCGATGATGTCCCGTTACGCTCACGCGCCTGCGGAGGCTACTCCGTCCTGGCCAACAACAGCGCGGCGGAAGCCCAGACCGAAGCCCTAAGAAATACTCCGTAAATGGCAATGACAATTTCACCATGAATTAACCCCCTTCGAAGACAATGGATTCAAATCAAGGGTGGGAAATATTACTGTCTGTCCCTGGTCCTTGGACTGCTCGCATATCATGTCCATGAAAAATAGAAAGATGCCCCATCACGGTGCCCCATTAAAGCTGCTTCCTGATTATATATCTACACATCCTCTATGAGATATCCAGTTCCCACGCTTTTCATTTCCTATCCTCTCCTTGCTCCTTGTTTTTTTTGTTTTAATCAAGCTCCTGCCCAGTGAACTCCGGCAGCCGCTTCCGCACATCCTCCCATGTCTCCTCACCGTCGACCAGCGACTTGATGGCCTGCAGAATCTCCTCCTCGCTCGCGCGAACCTGCTTCGTCGTGTCACGGTCGCGCAGGGTAAAGGTGTTGTCCTTGACAGACTGGAAGTCCACCGTGATACCAAACGGCGTGCCCAGCTCGTCGTTGCGTGCATACCGCTTGCCAATGCTTGCAGACGAGTCATCCACCTTGCTGGCAATACCGGCACGGCGTAGCTTCATGCTCAGCCTCTGGCACAAGGGACGGAACGACTCGTGGTTAGAAAGAGGCACCAGCAACACTTTGGTTGGAGCAACAGCTGGTGGGAAGGACAGGACCTGATAACAGTTAGACTGAGATTGGCAGAAAGATACAACGGGGGGGAAACTTACACCGCGAGCCTCATCTTCAGGCCGTGACCAGTACGAATGCTCGAGCAAGCTGTATAGAATCCGCCCGATACCAAAAGAAGGCTCAATCACGTTAGGCGTGTACTCACGCACATGCTCGATCCTCGTCCGTTTCTCGATCTTGATGAGATCTTTGTCCAGCTCCACCTTCCCAGATCCGACCCCCTCCACATCAATCTCGATCTTGCCGTCCTTCTCCAGATCAAGAGCCAGCTTCTCGCGCAGATCCTGAGACAGCGCTTCAATTGCCGCCTCCACGGTCTTGCCGTCTTTCTTGAAGCGAGGACCGAACTTCTTCTTGTCTATGTCGATCTGCCACTCCTCAACCTTCAGAGGTTCCGCACGTGTTTCACGGACGACCAGAGGAGCGCCAGTCTTGTTCTTGTGCACCGTCAGATCATAAGCGCTGCGGTCAGCACATCCAACACACTCGATCCAGCCGTAGCTGGTGAGCAGCTCGGCATCCCAGCAGTCAGCAGCATAGTGTGCCATCTCATTTAACATGTGCTGCCGGAACCGAAGCTTAGACCGGTCCACTCCGATCTTCAAGAGGAACATTTGAATGCGGGCGAGGAAGTAACCAAGGGTCTCGTTGTCAACCAAGCCAGTTGACACCGCCTTGCCAATGGTCATGTCCTCGGTTTGAGTGCTGCCAGAAAGCTGAACGTCGCGGCTCAACAGAGACAACACTTCGTCTTGGACTTCATGGAACCGAGGGTGTTTCTTCCCGCCCTCCGGGTCGACGAAGTGCTCGATTTCAGCCATGAGGAACTCACGGACTCGCAACAGACCGGAGCGCGGGGAGATCTCGTTACGGAAGGACTTGCCAATGCTGGCAGAGGCAAAGGGCATTTGCTGCTGGTTGAAGTCGAGCAGCTTCTGGAAGGAAAGGAACTGGCCCTGAGCAGTCTCGGGTCTCAGATAGCCAGGCATGTTGCTGCTCGGACCAATTGAGGTCTGGAACATGAGATTGAAAGCCACAGGCGGGAGGACGGGCCCGTCCGTCCTGGGATTCCGAATGTCATACTTTTTAATCAGCTCCGCCAGCCCCTCGCCATCATAGTTGTCGATCTGGGCCAGGACTTCCTCGTATTCGGCGACCACGGCATCGTCCAACTTGACGGCCTTGGTGTCCTTCGCCTTCTTTTTCTTTTTTGCTTCCTTCTCCTCGTCCACCTGAACCTGTTGGCCACGGGCCTCCTTGTCGCCTCTGAGACGCGCTTCGAGAACTTCTTCGACCAAATGGTCTGCTCGGAAGATCTCTCCGGTCTTGGGATCCTTGCACATCCAGTCGGCGAATTTGTCCACGTGTCCGCTGGTCTTCAGGACCTCGTGAGGAGTCAGCATCGTCGTATCCACCTCGAGCATGTCTTCCTCCAGAATGAAATGCTTCCGCCAGAGATCGATGATGTTAGCCTGGAGCGCACATCCTGGGGGCCCGTAATCGTAGAGACCAGACACCCCTCCATAGACCTCGAAGGCCGGGAAGTAGAAGAGCCGGCGACGGAGCAGGGACTCCAGGATCGACCGGTCAACAACCTGACCAGTCTTGGTCGTGAGGGTCGCCATTCCGGGGTTTTTAGTCTTCTTTGCAGGCTGAGCCTTGTATGATCTGGTGGTGCTCGAAAATGCTCTGGTGGGGTTCCTTTTCAGCAGGCGTGGGAGGAGTCGACAAAGGGGCGACTGACTCATCCACCACGGTTGGCGTGAGGAGGAGGATGGAGGGAGAGAGGAATGGATGAATGAGTCGGAGGAGGAGCGTTGAGACAACCCCTGCGCGAGCTGGCAGATGGCGATGAGTCAAAATGAAATTGATTGATGGGCGTCGTCCTACCTTTCGTCCTGTCCCGCAGTCGCAGAGGTTTCGCCCCAGTCAGCGTTGCGTTCGACTCCGCCGGCGAAACGATTCTCCGCCAAAATTATTCCCCAACTTTTCGTCTCGGCCATCCAGGACGCGCAACAGACGCATTGTGCCTGGACTCGACGCCGATCTGCAGTCGAAATGGCTTCCACAAAGAAGTCCAAGGCGAAGGGGGCTCCCCCCGCCGGGCTGGCTTTCAAGCCCGCCAACAAAATGCGCCGGCAGCTGCTCCATATGAGGCGGAAGCGGGCTGAAGAGGCCGCCCGACTGAAAGAGCGGCTCGCCAGAAAAAAGGAAGAGGCGAAAAATCCCAAATTGAAAGAGGAACGGCTGCGCAAGAACATACCGTTGACTCTCGAACGGAAACGTGTCTGGGATGAAGTCGACAGCGACGTGGAGGACGGACTGGGACTCAGCGTCGATGTGGAGCGAATCAAGCGACAGAAGCAAGAGGAAGAGGCCGAGCTCAACAAACCGATTTCAGAGCAAGATGAGAGCGATGCACAAGAGGAGGAGGAAGAAGACGATCAGGATGATGAAGTCGATAGCATGATCATGACCGATCCCGAAGATGACGATGAAGACAAAGAAGATAGCAAAGCGAAGAAGCAGAAGAAGGAAGCCGGCTCACGAAAGTCTTCCCTTCCAACACCAACTGAGCGCGCGACAAGTCCTACGCTGTCTACCAAGAGCACGAATCTGAACCTGGTACCCGAGGCATTGGCTGCCAAATTCCCGACACTGTTCACCAACGATTTCCCCATGCCCAAGATCCTCATCACCACCTCGATCAATTCCACCTTACACCATGAAGCCCAGCTCCTCACAGATCTGTTCCCGAACAGCGTCTACATCCGGCGGACGGCACATCGGTACGCGTACAAGTTTTCCGTGAAAGAGATTGCGTCCTTTGCGGCGAATCGCAACTACACGGCGGTGCTGGTGTTGGAGGAGGACCAGAAACGGCCCTCGGGGCTGACCATCGTCCACCTCCCGCAGGGCCCGACCTTCCACTTCTCCATCAGCAACTGGGTGGAAGGGAAGAAACTGCCGGGCCACGGCAGGGCGACTGATCACTGGCCCGAGCTGATCCTCAACAATTTCCGCACGCCGCTCGGTCTGCTGACGGCCCATCTGTTCCGCACGCTCTTCCCGCCGCAGCCGGACTTTGAGGGCCGCCAAGTCGTGACGTTACATTGTCAACGCGATTACATTTTTTTGAGACGGCATAGGTACGTCTTCCGCGAGAAGCGCGAAACAGAGAAGCCCGTCGTCGGCGCGGATGGGAAAGAAATGAAGGGTGTCGAGAACATCAAGGCCGGTTTGCAGGAGCTCGGGCCGCGATTTACCTTGAAGCTGCGCCGGATCGATAAGGGGATACAACGATCCAGCGGACAGGAATGGGAATGGAAGGGATCGCTCGAGAAGACGAGGACGAAATTCCAGCTATAATCATTTCCAAGACACCGATACCGATTTCAGTAGCACCGGATGTGTGACGACTCATTACCAAATCCCAAAAGCATGTTTTTCTCCTTCCATTGCAAACTGGACCAACTCAGTTACTCTGTTGGTGCGTGCCACGACCTGGATAATCATCCTTCTAGATCGATTCCTTGCTCCTTTTTTTCTTCTTTAATTGGACACAAAAATATCTGCGGTCTGGTCTGGTCCGGTAAGGCGGAGTTATTGTTTCATTGATAGATACCTGCATCTGCATGTATGTATGTGATGTATATACAAGCGTCAACGACTGGGGTTTATGTTTGCGATGGCTAGTTGACTGACTCCTAAGACATAAAAAAAAGGACTGGAAAAAAAGGGTTATTCATGCAAAAAATAAGATAACAAATGAGAAATATTATTTCCAAGCATGTATATGAATGTGAAAATGAAAAGGTCGTAACTGTCATTCATCAGTATGCATCATCACATGTAATTGTTGTATCAATCGTTCTTCTGGTTCTGGTTGTTTCGTGTCTTTTCTTTTCCTTTTTTTCCCCCTGCTTCTTTTTCTTTCTTTCAAAATTTTCCTCCGTCACTTCAGCTGCAGTTCACGAAAAAGCTGGTCCATTTTTCGCCGGTGCCTTATCCTGTACGGTGCGTATGACATCGGCTTTCTCCCAGTCACGAACCGTACTGACACCGTCATACCCTCTGCGGCAACGATCTCACGCTTCGCCTTCTCGCACAAATCTCGCACTTCGTCAGCGGTCCACTTCCCCGTCGCAGTCAATTGGCGGAGACTTCTCGCTTCCAAGCCCTCGAGGAGGCCAATCAGGGCCATCTTGCCCAGGGTCTTTTGCCGAGGGTCTTGCGGCCACGTCCCCACTGGGACGGTGATATCGTGGACTCGCACATCCACAAACCCAACAGATGTGAGCGCCGAGGGCCGGAGATGATCACGCCCGCGTGGAAACCCGGCCGCGTCGGCGGTGTTTCGCATGGCCGACATAAGAATGCTGAAGTAGGAATTTGGAGGAGCATTAGGGATATTCGTGATGTCTGCTGCCGGGTCGGATTCCGACACTTCGATGTACCCGCCCGCCTTGAGGTGCTTGAACGCCTGTTTGTAGACCGCATTCCAGTCACGAAAGGCGCCTGAGAGGCCCCGCATGTGAATCAAATCGAATGGCTCATGGTACGTCCACTCCTCCTCGGCATCGTCAAGTTGAAAGTGGACGTTAGGAAGCCCAAACCGGCCCGGACCGCCATCAAAGATGCTGATGTCCGTGGCAATGATCTCGGCGTCCGGATACAGCTCGCCCATCTCAATGGCCCAATCCCCAGGTCCCGTCCCGACATCCAAGATGCGACTGGCGCCTTTTGGGACGGGAGCCTTGGTCAATTCACCGTCAAGCAGGATCAAGAAAATTTGATGAACGATGTTCAATCGCGTCTGCTCGGCCTCGTCGTTTGGCATGAAATATGTGTCGTTACAGTACCTCCGTCCATTCTCGAATACTCCTTTTATCAGGTTCTCGGATCTGGTCGATGTTCTGTATCAATCAGCCTTGCGCCCCGCTGGCGTGTTGCATGATGAGTGATGGGTTGCCAACATTGAATGTGCGCCGTCGTCGTCAGACTCCGACTCGGAAACCGATGTCGAGTCAATATCCGACAGCTCACTTGTTTCTTCTTCTCCCTCTTCTTCTTCCTCTTCCTCTTCCTCTTCCCCGTCTACTTCTGCTTCCTCCTCCTCCCGCTCCTCCTCTTCATCTTCTACCGCCACCGGCTGGTCGTAGTCGTCATGGGCACGGCCCTCTGCCTGAAGAGATGGTTCTTCGGCCATGACATGACGACTTGCACGATCACAGAAAAGAGCGGGCTCGGGTTATCGGTCAGCTAAGAGCAGGAATGTCCCAAGGAACATTAATTCCATACACCTGATGGGTACATTTATGAGCGGTAAACTTAAAGAGGGGAGGTTTTTCAAGGGTTTCGTCGGTCTTGCCTAACGGTCAAGAGTCGACAGAACCGCACCAAGAAAAAAACGGGGGAAATTACCCAGAAATGGACGGTTGGCGACGTGCATTGACACGTGTAAAGTCCACAGGGGAGAAAGAAAGATAGCCTTTTCGAGAGGAGAAAACGGTGCGGAGAGAGACGTGGATAATCAATTAGGTACGGAGCATACTCCGTCCAGTCAGCCCAGTACCAGCCGGTTAATGCTACTGGCAGACCAGTTTACTCCGTACTCCGTAGTTAAATAGCAAAAGTACCGACGAATCAACCATGAACCATGCTAAGAAGCTCCAGTAGTTCACTGCGAATCGTGACTGTGATCCGTAGGCCCCATTGCTGTCACCCGTGGGATGGGGAGGAGGGGGCCCCTAGACGGCCGGACCCTGGAGCTTGCAGACGGAACCCACCCGGCGCCGGCATCGAGCTTAATTAACTCGGACGAAGGCATATTGGCCTGATAGTGAGTGGCTGACAGCCTGTTGCAGGGACGGCTGACCCAGCCAGCAGGGACCGTTCGATCCGGCGGGCACGCTAACGATCGGTTTGGGGAGACGACAAAGCCTTCCAGAGGTTCTTAAAAGATGCCGGCCTGCTGCGATTGCGCGCCCGCCAATCACGTCCCCCTCCAGCAGCTCCAGCAGGCTGTGCGCTTCGCAAGACGACAAATATCGCCTGGTCGGGTCTCGGAAAGAAACAATAGTAATAAGAATACTATTAAGCCTGGCGACAGTCGTGCTGGAACGTCATGTCTCTGCCGCCTGTGGATGGGCACGATGTACTCCGTAGCACTGCAGCTAGGGCTGGCAGACCTGCAGGAACGTCTGGAACCGGAATGATGGCACGGTCGTTTTCGAGTCCTGCGTTTGCACAGGCCGTTCCACTGTCCTAAACTAACGAACTTGAGAATTCAGCCGTTAGACGCTGGCTCCCACAGACCGGTCCACGACTCCACCATCTACCGAAGCGGCGGAGAACACGAGTCCAAGACTCGAATCAAGTCCGAAATAAAGATAGGCTGTGAGTCTGACCTGTAACAGACTGACAGTCCTTGTCCTGTATGGTGTCCCAGAGACGTAGCCTTGGGAAGGTTTTTTTTTGACGACTTTGGAGGTTTGCGTTGGTCGGCGGTCTCCACTTGAATCCCTGGCAGGCTTAGGTGCTTTGCTCAGATGCAGATGGAGAGGAATTAGTATTGCACTACACCACTACTGCAGCCGCCCCATTGGCACGAATTACCATGTGTGGCCAAGCATGTCGCTGGAAGAGGGAAAAGAGGAGAGAACGGGCAAACGGTAGAGGCAGTCCAAGCACCGAGCCGGAGATAAATCCCAGGAGGATGGATCGCGGACCTGACTCCAACTAGTATGTATTTCTAGTACGGAGTAGACGAATTGCTATCAGCATGACGGTCTGGCAGGCTATCATAGATCACCGACTATTGATTTCAAGTGCCTCGGCAAGTTGCCAGCAGCGGCGGCCGCTAAGGGGAAAAGGTTGGCAGGTTTCCACACAGCACACCTGTCGCTGTCAGGACTGAGGACGGCAGACGCTGGAGTCTGGTAACTCTGGCTGTCTGCGCGGGGCCGCAGACCGGGGAGTACCCGTGAATCCGTACCGTGTGCCAGCCGTCCTTAGGGCCGGAAGCCCATCGCATCCGTCCCGGATACTCCGTCCCGGATTCGTCTTCTCTCGAGTCTCGACCCTGGAGTCCGGATCGACTGAGGGTAACTATGTCGTAAATGAAATAAGAAGCTGCGCTGTCCAGGCCGTAGTCGGACTGTCTTACCGTCTTGGCGATCCACTGTTCCCACAACCCCCGTTTATTATTCATACTTATAGACCCGTCTCCATTCAGAGGGATCAATCCTCCTGCCATTCGCAGATGTGGAGGTCATGGATACCCGGTGGAACGCGACAGCGATAGATAGCAACAATCGTGAGAGCCTTGCAGTAGCTTCAGTCAGGTCAGGGCCGTCAGGCAGGCAGGCAGACTCGCAGTCAATGATCGCCCAGGGTCGAACGGCAACTAGGTACGGACCTACCTAGATAGTTTTAATGGCCAGCTGCGGGGCATCGTCTAGTCACTGTCGTGGTCTGGCTGATCATTGATCAATTGCTCCGTCGGAGGTTCCGCGAGTTGTTGTCGGACTCTGTACAACACGCTATTCAACCAGTCAATCATGGCGACGCAATACTTGGAACTTGGAGACTACCTTTGTCAATGATAGATTTTTCATCGTTGAAATAACAAACTCGCTTGATGGAATTCCTCCTAAACTGAAAACGGAAGGAGAACAGGAAAGACCCAAAAGGACCGAAGGATTATCAGACACATATGAGATCATCAAAGACCTGGAAAAAGAAAAAGAAAAGAAGATAATGGAAAAGAAAGAAAGAAAGAGGAATATAAAAACTAGAGGAAAAAAAAACAAAGACGTACAGTCGAAGCGCGTTGCGTGTGCTCAATGGGTTGCTTGCCCGACTCAGCTGGCTTGAAAGGAAGGCACGCATCGGCGCAGATGATTTGTTAAGGCAGGTGCGTGCCTTACTCTTTTGGCCCGAGGAACATGGAAACAACACAAACAACCATCAGAATGCCCAGCAAGTTACGACAAGGATATAATGATGAGACTACTTAAGAACTCCCTCACATACACACCACCTCTTTTTTTTTCCTCCTTATCCACTTGTGGTTAACCGTTGGTACCTGAATAGCCTGACCAATCCCGAAGCGCGGTATCAAAAGATCCATGCGGGCGCAGATCTCCCGCAGAACGTGGCGTACAGAAATTCCCAGCCTTGAAGACCTTCGCGAACAGCTCCTGCGCGACTGAGAAAGGGTCCCTCACTCAGCAGACAAGGGGACGACGAGGAAAGGAGGCGTGAGAGTGTGAGGGAAGGCTCCTGCGGACTCCTTTCCCTCTTCTTTTAATTGTTTTCGTCTTTCTCTTCTATTCAGTCGTTTGTTATCTAGCCTTCCCATCTACCTATCTGCCTATCATGGCCGCCGCAACTTCCACCTTTAAATCGCCGCAGCGATTCCTCTTCATCGCCTCGATCGGGAATCTTCCCGCTCCCTATACATTGACGCGACACAGCGCGGGACACTCCCTACTGACGGCCGTCGAGCCGCTACTGCAGGAACGCATTGGTCTTGTCCACGCCCAAATCCCCTCACGGCCGCTGTTCTACCAGACGTGGAAATGTCCCTCTCTGATGAACACTTCCGGACCACCCCTCACGCGGCGCCTGAAGACGTGGCTCACAGACCAGGAAAGAATCTTCCGCAAGGTAGTCCTTGAAAATACGGCGACGGGTTCGGAGACGGGACCGACACTTCAACTCCTCAAAGGAGCAGGAGACTCTTCCGCAGGCGGAGGAACGACCCCTGTCGAGCTGAATGTGCGCGACCTGACGCATTTCCGTCCGACACTGGTCATCCTCCACGACGAGCTCGAGGCTTCCCTAGGCCGGGTGAAAGTGAAACGAGGCGGGCCAGAGCAGGCCAGCCTACGGGGACATCGGGGTCTCATCAGCGTGATGGAGAGTCTTCGCGGGTCAGGGCTGCTACCTGTCAAGCAGAAGGCTGGCACTGGCACTTCTACTGACGGATCGAATTCAAAGGACGCCCACCCTCTCTCAATCTTGCGAATCGGCATCGGAATCGGCCGTCCCGCAAGCCGGGACCCGGGCGCCGTTGCCGACTACGTCCTCACCCAGATGTCTGCTAACGAATTGAGCGCGGTGCAGGCCGCCGCCGCTCCTGTTGTAGACATTCTCATGGAGGAACTGTACCGGAAAGACGAGAATTAATTGGATGTATGAACGTATGAGCGTATGAAAATTGCACCTGTATTATATCGTGTATACTACCTGTTAACTGTACAGATATTTACGTAGAGATATATACCAAATTAGCCATATTTCTTTATGGCAATAAATTCTTGTGTGCTGAATTATAGACAGTACAAATGCGAAAAAAAAAATAGTACCAACATAGCCCATAGCCCATTCATTGTCTAGGCATGAAAGCAAGCAAACAGTCAGACGGAATTCCTCGACCTAAACAAGTCCGTAGTATATGTATGCAGATGCATGCAGATTAATCTTCCAAAATAGATTATAATATAATATTCCTAGAAATCTCCCTCTACCTTTTCTTTGTATCGCTAAACAACACAGACAAACAGACAAAAAAGCATTCTAACTGAAATATGGATCATAGATCATGTATTTGTAGTACATGGGAGAAGAGAAGAAAGAAAGAGAACTATTTTTTCTGAAAGACAAGAAAGGAAAGAAGAAACCTCAATACGCATGAACATGAACATGAATAAGAACAAGATCGAGTCATCAAACATCCCACAGTCAATAGACAAGGTCGTTATCAACTAGAACAGATTAGATAAACAGAGAGACAGACAGAACGAAACAAGAGACTCTAGACTGTCCCTGCAATACTCAAATCCCGAATCTCCTGCAGCACCTGCTCGACCCGATTGTCCAGGTCGCCGTTGGCATATTGGTCTCTCGTGTCCGCATCGAGGTACTGCTGCACCTGGGCCATGCGCGAGTAGGCCTCTGCGCAGAACCGTAGCTGGATCTTGACCAGGGCCTCGAAACTGGGATCCAGGTAGGGCACCCGCAGGTCGATGAGCTGCGGCAGCTCGGTGAACAGCTGTTCATTGAGCTGTTCGTACGCCTGCTTGGCCATCTCCGCCTCCCGTTCCGCCCGGGGCAGTTTGGTTGCGTCCTTGTCGGGCTTTTCAACCAGCTTCTTCACTTTCGCCCGCATCGCATCGTAGTCGAGCAGCTTGTTATTTCGCTTCTTGATGCACTCGTTGATATCGGGGAAGTAGGCGCAGAAACGGGAGATCGGCTCCAGAACGGTTGTCCTGCAGAAAATTAGCAAGAGTCGCTCACAAGATAGAAAGCGGGGCAATAATACCGGTAGGGGCCATCCAGGGCCTTGATCGTCTCTGCATCCAGATCCTCCACCGCCTGTTTGTAGCTCCTGCTCACACCATCTCTCGTCCCTGCATCGCCATAGAACGCATCAATCGTCTCTGCAATGCGCATCTGAGAGGCCGTCATCGCTTATAGCCAGAATTAGTTTCTTACTCTGATAACAAAAGTCATGTCAAGCTTGCGCACCTCGTAATGAATCCAGGTATCCCTTTGCTTCTTTCTGTAGGCGATTCGCTGCAGCCTCCATCGTCCGGTAACGTCTACCATGTGCATTAGCGCGCGGAGCAAGAACAGCGAGGAAAGAAAGGAATAGGCGTACCTCTCCTCAATCTCATAGTCACGATCATTCGTTTTCTCCACATGCCCTGGTAGGAGAAGTCAGCCTTAGATTCCTCCTCACACTTCCCATGTCGTGACGTTGCAAGGCCGATCCAGGCAGGCGGGGTAGTTGGATGAACGAACCCGTCTTCATCATCACCTGCGTCGTTGCGCGGTTGACATTTTTCTTAAAACCTGCAGATCAAAGAAAACAAAAGCATAAGCCTCAATCCCATGGAGATGCGGAATGGAAGCAGATAGGCGAAGATGACATACCTGACCACGACATGGCGGCTGAGAAGACGTGCGTACAGTGGAATCAGAGTCGCGGGGCAGCAGGATGATTCGCTGGTAGATTACAGTCTCAACTGGACGAGTGGGAGAGTCGATTATTGATGGAGAAGATGAAAAGGCGCAACCACAGGTGGAAGAGAACAGACTGGAAGGGCACGATGTGTATGCGACGACGACAGGCAGCTGATGGCTGATCGGCTGCCCTACCAGCGGGCGGTGTGGCTGAGGATTGTGAGCTGGACAGTTGCTGGAGCCTGGCAGCTGCCCCCTTTGGCGTGGCGCAGCCGTTTTCGGCAAGTCCGCCTACGTCATTTCTTGAGTGATTCAGCATGCGCATAATAAAACGATACCGTCGAGTAACTACTATTTCGTTTATTGGGAAATTTTACAGGATACAAGAAGAACAGGCATATCCACAGATTTACATATATACATATTTCACAGATATTCCCTCGAGCCAAAATCTACATACAACTTCCTGGGTGAGTACATTAGGTATGTATGTAGTACATACATGTGCAAGGAACAAGCGAACACTGCTAGCCTTACAAACTTCAAGACACAGTCAACTGACGAAAATAACTTCCCGAAAACTCTGCCTCCATAATTATTTGCTCGGCACGATCGCAACCAGCGAGTCACCAAGCTTGGCAATCGACTGCTCAAACTCTTCGAACGATTTGGCGTCCCACTTGGCGCCGTCCTTGCCAGGCACAGAAGAAGCGTTAAGGAAGCCCAGGTACAGGACGTCGTGCTGAGTGTGGCCGCTGTCGCCGCTGATGTCCTCGTTGGGGAAGCACGCGGTTGCCAGCGAGATAGCGGCCTCGCCAGTGTCGGTGCCACCGTTGGTGTCACCCCAGATGCCGTAGAACTGCATGAGTAGATTCCTGTCAGCACGATCTGTCTACAGAAGAAGAATAGGGGGTTATTGAAAAAAAAAGAGGTTGTGGCGGGGGCATACCAAGTTGTTATTGCACACGACTGCCATAACACTCAGCGGCTTCATGCCAACGCTCTGCGGCTTAAAGGACGGGCTGGAGTCCTCGTTGCCAAAGACGACGTAGGGGTGGATGTTGGCATTGAGGTCCTTAATTCCATACGTCTTGACGATGTCCTGGAAGGCAGTTTGGCTTTGACCCGAGGGGTCATTGGAGCATTTGCCTCCCTTGTTGTTGGCGCCGTCACAGTCGACATCCATGTCAGCGAGCTCCTTGGGGCCGGTGAGGTAGATGAGGCCATGATCCTTGTAGTCAGCGCAGTAGGCAAAGCCAGCTATACGGTATCAGCCGAATTGATCTTGATAGTCGTGGGGGAGAGTCATACAGTTGCCTTGGCCATCTCCAAAGCCACTCTTGAATGGCTTAGAGCATCCCTTCGTCTGGTTCACATGACAATCAGCATCATACAAGAATAAGGAGCGGCTACTAGGAGAAGGAGAGGGGGTTAGCTACCTTCACAGTGTTATAGAATGACTTGAGGTTGGCCGGGATATCACGGCCACTGACAGTGGCAGGCAGGGAAAGAAGCAAAGCGGAGAGAGACAGAGTGACAATAGTCTTGAGGGAGATCGGCTTAGAGGAAACCATTTTGATAATAGAAACAGAAAGTCCGCAACGATTAGCAGTATAGATTTAGGTGGATCTATTAACTCGATGCTGGCGGAGAAGAACCGGAGAATCAAGGGCGATCGGAGAGCTTTTATAGTTCTGACCATTCGTCCTACTATTATATACAGTAACTATCAACCATTCCATAGTATATCCCACCCACCGTAAGCTTTCAAGCAAGTGGACAAACATCTTCTCTCGCCGAGGGAAACTCTGGAGGGGAATTGGGGGCCGGTGGAGATGCAATTCTCGATCGATAGTCAAAAATAGCATGTCCGGAGCCATCGCATGGAGCGTGGGCTTTCCCACAACCCGCACCGGCTTCCCAGATGGGCAATTGGACGAATACTCCGTAAGTTAAGCTTAGACAGAGATCAAAACTCACGGATCGCTGTTTGATCAAGGAGCAAATCTGATCTTAAAGTTTTGGACCCCGAATTGCTCTGCGATCGCTTATTGGGTGTTTGCGCCTGTGAAACGCCCCGTTTCCCGGTCTCATGAGCGGAACATGGTTGCATCGAGCAGTTTTGGCTTCAAAGTCTCCCACACAAAAAAGAAAGCTGATATTATACCCCCATCGGGTTTCACGGAGATTCGCCGGTATGCCGACAGAATGTCCGGAGATCAGGGTTCAGGAGAGCAGCTCAACCGATGCCTGCACCGATACTACCTCTGATGCTCCCTTGTCGGACCTTGGAACCCTTCTGGGGATAACTACTTCGTACTGTAGGTCATATGGTCTATCGAGTGCATCAAGGTAGCTAAAAAATGATTTAAGCTCGCTCCTGCGAACCTCCTAGACCCTCTTTCGGAAGAACAAGCCGGTGGCAAGTCTGGCGAGAATCTCATACGGAGTACATACTCTCACGGCTTAAATGTCATGCAATCATCACTGATAAATTTCACGCCATCATGGGCTCGATCGGCCCGGTCGCTAATTTAGACTGGTTGACCGTTTCCAGGTTCAGATCGCAAAGGAATTTCTAGGCATACTTCGACGAAAGGATACCGCAAAGGAAAAGACCAGGCTCCTGTTTGTTCAATGATGAATACCTCCGTAAGGGGGCACAGAATCATCTGCCCAAGAAGAACAAGGAGATAGGGGCATTGAAGGTTCTCCTTTCCTTCAGGAGTTAATCGTCAGGACCCGAGACGTCATCACCTCGACACCAACAACAGAACCATGAATCCACCAGAACAATGAGGCACTCTCGTGATATCATAATTGAAGAAGGGGGAAATGGGGGAAAGGAAGGGGAAAGAGATATAATAGGCAGAGAATACAAAAAGAATTACGCTCATAAGATGCAATCAATGCTAACAAATATGCACACAGAAGGCAAGAATGTCAAAGCGAACATGCGAAGAAGAAGGAGGAGAAGGAGAAGAAGAAAAAGACAATGACCAACCTGGGTCAAGATGTTCATTCCTAACTCGCCTCTTCGATTACCCCCCAAGCCTGGTACGAAACGGGAACGCGAGAAGTTTCCACTGGAAAGTCCATAGCGAACAAGTCGGGCCAACGTCCACAGAATTAGTGCCGTCAAGGGGAAAGACGCGGGAGCATGTGGGCTCTAGAATATACAGCAGAAGCATGGGAAACTTGCAGCAACACCGAACCAGAACGGCCGTCAGAAGGAAAAACCGTAAAACCAGATCAATCGACTCTGCACGCCTGACATAAGATACATAAAAAAGAAAAGGTCATGACTCTTCGTTGCGCTTTAAAAGACAGAAAATGTGCAATAAAAGCCTAGGGCCTGCGAAATCATGACGGCCAAATTAGGCGTATAGTGTATAGTGGAAAAGAAGACCTCCCATCTATGGAAGTGACAAAGTTCCGAAGCCCTTAATGTATGTCACCCCAGGACAAAACCAGGCCACCGCCAGCGATCTAGGTGACTCTGAAGCGAGAAAAGAGGCATGTGGGACAGCATTCCAGACCCGTAATCATCAGGACGCCGACACCCAAAAGCTGACACCCGAAAAAAAAAGACTTCCCCCCAAAAGGCCGTAAGGTTCCCGTCAGGGAGCCTACACAGAAAAGGGGAAAGAGGAAAAGACGGGGGAAGAGAGCAATGAATCGTTCAACAGAATCAATAGCCCTCCTCACCCGCCTTGCATAACTTGATTTCACGAACCCATTCGGACCTCAGAACCTGCGACGCAGTTATCCGGCGACCAGGGTTGGGATCGAGGATGGAGTAGATGACGTTACGACACCGAGCCTGGACGGATTGCAAAGTCAGCCACTGCAACCACTTGACCTTACGCGTCCAAGGGATCTCACTTACCCTGTGCAGAGTCTCGATAGGAGCATAGCCATCCTCATCTCGTCGACCCTCCAGGTAGCGCTCGTAGAACTCATCTTCATCTTTCTTGGCGACTCGCCACAGGTGTCTGCCGGTTCTCATGGCCATGTAGATGACTCCCGTCGCCCAGACATCAACAGCCCGGGGATCAAATTCCTTGTCCGTGTATTCCTCTGGAGCGATGTACGGCGCCGAACCACAGAGACCGGCGGTCATATGTGGTTCTTTCTCCCAGGCCATTCGGAAGCATTCGCCGTTGCCAAAGTCCGTGATCTTGAGGGCGCCGTGGGTGGTGAGGAGCAGGTTTTCAGGCTTGAGGTCACGATGGGCGACACCCATCTCGTGCATGTACTCCACACCCCGCATTAGTTGTTTGAAGAAGCAATCGGCCTCGGTCACTTCGAGCTTGCCCGCCGCCAGGATCAGGGTATAGAGGTCGCCACCCGCGCAGTATTCCATCACCTCACAGTAGTCGCCCTTTGCGTCTTGCAACAGATCCAAGGTGTGGATGACATTCGGGTGACGAAGGGACGAGGAAATGCAAAACTCCGAGGTCAAACGCTTCTGGTACTTTTTGGACGTCTCCTGGGGACGGCGGCGGAACTCCTTCACGGCGTAGAGCTGTTCCACCCGGGAGTCCTTGGGATCGACCTTGTGTGATATGCGGACAATACCGAAAGCTCCCCGTCCCACGATCTCCTGGCATTTGCCGTACTTGTCGACTAGCGAGGCCGTTGCATTCGGTCCACCCTTCTTGTCCTGGGCGAGCTTGTCCCGCTCATTCTTGAGTTGGTCCACCCAGCTCGACACCAGCGACAGCTGTTGGTCATCCGCATGGTCTTCCTTCTTCTTGCCACCTCCCAGGATGTCGCGGAGCAAGTCGGTCAGCTTCTCCTGCCGCTTGGCACTTTTCAGGTGATGACGGTGGGTGCCGTCCGGGAGTATCTCGAAACGCTTGTGAGTTGCAGACGCATCTTTGTCCTTGCTTCCACCGAAGATGCTTCGGGTCCGCTCTCCGTCTCCTTTCTTGTCGCTCACGGAGGTCTGCCGGGAGGGGGGCTGGGGTGGCGCTGGCCTGACGGTCCCGTTCATGGAAGGCTTGGTGCCGTCGGAGCTGCTCTCTGAAGTCGTTTCCCGGCGAGGGTCTGATTCCTTGGGAGTTGCCGCCTTCCGATCACCAAACATGCGTGAGATGCGATGTGCCATCGATGGTTTGGCAACTTTGGCGGGCGGAGGAGGGGTTGGGAGGACATCGTTCGTGGGGACGGACAGGCGTATGTCCTCGAGCGCCCGGGTCACCTGCTGCTCGCCATCATTGCGGTCTTGTTGCGAAGCCACCGATGCTGCTGCCGAAGACACTGAGGAGGAAGGAACAAGTGACGCGGCGGGTGGGGGAGTCATGTGCGGTTGGGTCGAGGGCGTACGCGCAGGTGCGTTCCAGCAGGGGAAGGAGAGGGACGACGAGGTCCCTCTGGAGAAAAGGGGAAAGAGCCACAGTGTAGCCGAAGCCGCAACGCGTTGTTGGAAGAAGATCTGCAGGAGAAGGAGACGGGAAGGGGCGGAAAAAAGTAGGTCGGAGAGGGTGGTGTGGAAGGCGGCGAGAGGCGGGCGGACAGGACGAGTGACGAAAGCGACAATGGCACACGACGAGCGCACCGCGCACCAGGGCACGGATTGCTCGGACGGGAAACGTCGAGAGCAGAGGCAGATAGAGAGACCGTTTGGAAGGCCGATTGAGAGGGTTCCAGAGGAAAAGGGACGTCCTACCGTTTCGTTGGCAGGCTCGGGGGGGGGGGGAAGGGCGAGGGAAGAAGAGGGAGAGAGAGGATCGCGAACAAGAGCCCGGGGGAAGGGCGGCTTTTTCGCGCTCTTTTTTCTCTTCTGTGCCGGGAGGGCAAACCGGAGGGCCACAGGGCCGCGGTAATGACAGCATTTAAGTCTTCTGGCTCATTGTGGGCACCAAGCCGTTTGCCCCAGAGCACGGTGACGAGAGAGGAGTAGCCACCACCATCGAGACTGAGGGTACAAAAAGAGGGTTTGTCAGAGCCCAGTCAGATCAGGATTAATTACCGTCAGGCCTGCGTTACGCGCCCCGGCTCGTGACACGCACCGTCCGGCAAAACCGACGACTGGTTTCTATTCGGCTCTGCGCCACATCTAATACAACGATTGCCATGGCCACGGCCATCGACCACGGAACGGTGCCGGACGGAGGCTTCATGACCAGTTATTACCGTATGGCATGCTGCCTGCTGATGTTGATACTACTGCTATTGTGCCAAGGCCACTGCCTTGTTCCCGCTTTCTGCTTGGGCTTAGGATGCCATGGCGAGCCCTGGCTCAGCACACTGATGGTTTCCCGTTGCGGGAGGATGATGAGCAGACATCGAGGGTTCTAGCAGGCAGTGGGATTCCACGGATATTATTAATATTCCAGTCAGTTACCTAACCTGATCGTGGTCATCGACGTCTCCCTTGGGAATGGTGCGGAGCAAACCGTACGGTTTCGGCGAGCGACCCAACCTACCAGCCCATTCCCCGCGGGTCAATCCCAGGTCGGCTGACGGATCAGTGACAAACTGCCAGATGGTGAATCGTTGTGTCGACCGCGGACCTGAGGATCGCAACAGGGTGACGTCGTGCAAGGAGGCCAACGGGAGCAAGCGTGCTGACATCAGAGTCTAAGACGAGTGTATTCTGTATTCTGTATTTATTGCGGCGGTGCAGGCAGTCGCCTGATTTGACGATCTGCCTGCTAAGCTAATGCCCGCCGGCAGTAGGGCCGTGTCATTTCGATTTGGCCCGTGGCGTTTAGCCAGCCCTGTACCAGCTTGGCTTCGCGCCAGCGAACGGAACGGCTCCTGGTTACGAAGCGGTAAGGCAGGGTCAATAAAAGATGTCAACATAGACAGTAATAACAGTCTGTAACCTGTAACCTGGCCCGTAAGCTGTATTGTCATCACTGGTCCTCTGGTAGGCCTTTCGAGCTGCATCCGGGTCATTCGATGGAGAACACGTCGTGTGCGACATGGACCTCTTGGCTGCTGCGAGATGCTGGAGGGATGCAGGACCAGGCTGCTGGGTAGCGCTACTCCACTAGGCAGGCGAGGGCGTCTGCATGGACAATTGCTTTTTCTCCCCCTACGCATGATCCGCATGATGAGCATCGAGCTTCCGTAGCGCATGTGCGGACGGGGCTGCAGATTGGCCGGATGGAAGCGGCGATTCTCGAAGCGGACTGGCCCGCGACGCAGGCTGAATCGGTCCTGAAAGGAATCCATCGTGCCTAACTCATGGTCCAAGATTCGGCTCCATTTGCATTTCACTGCCTTTGCCAGACGCTGGCAGGCAAGGGCGGGGAACGACGCGGGGTTCTTTCAGCGTCAACGCGAGCTGGCCTGGCTGTTTCGTCAAGCCATGCGGCCGTCGCCGGGTCGGTATCCATCGTCGCTTTTAGCCTTCCGCTAGGCGACCCTCCTCGACAGTGAGACATTTAATTTGGACCACAGGTTTCGTTTCGATCCCGGCCTTAGGTGCATGCAGCGCCCGCCATGGCTTGCCGGTGACGAAATCGCCGCCCGGCCGGGGTGATTTTCTACTGGTATTACCCGAAATTGGTAGGTTCAGTCGGACTGACTCGAGCCATCTGGAGTAACAGTACTATCATGAGATCCGCCCTCTAGTGACAGGCCTCGGACAACGTTCGGCCGCACAGTATCAAAACATCTTATCAGTGCTTACGAAAACGTTTGATAGATTACCATAGCACGTTCTTCGGCGGGTTTCTTTTCTTGCTTTTTTTCCCCCTTCCTTTTTTCTACGCTCTGCGACAGGTGCAGAGAAAGAAGCTTCAACATGTGATGCTGATGTCCTGTAAGGTAGCCCGTAGGTAGCCACGCGATCGATGTGCCCGCGAGCCTGGAAAAGTTGACTGGAAAAGACCTATTTACCCGACACAGGGTCGATCCTGCCATGCCGATCTGTACAGCATGATGCACAGCCATCTTCCATTACGAGACGACCGCATTGCGATCTGTGTTGCTGGCCCAAGCTGCCATTGAACCGAACTGGAGGAGTATTTTCCTTTTTGAGTTTCGTGATTCGTTAACGATTCCTAATAATAACAGTATATTACTCCGTATAGGTTGTACGGGATTTGGTGACGGCACATTTCACCTCACCGCCACTGCTCTCTCTCATCAATAGATAGATCACCGCTTTTTGCAATGCAAAATCATCGTTTAACCCATGTCTAATAATATGCATGTTCTCTGCAATTTATCTACCATTGTTTCAAACACGTTCGCAATAAACGCTCTGATATTGGCTTCTTTTTACTGCCATTACTATTATTTTCTCTCCTCTGCGAGTCTACAACTCACCAGTTCAACGGGCACACAAATAACATTTGGCCATCTTTCAGGGATGGTTCACTCTTACGTGAATTCAACCAGAGACCCAGATTCATGAAGAAATGGGAATGAGAGAGCGCGCCGGCCGAGAGGAGGTCATGACCAATTATCACTACCCGTCAGTGCTTGACAGCATTTTCCCGATAGGAAACCAAATGTATCAAGCTCGATGCGGAAATGCAGCAGTTGCGGTTGGACCTCTTCCTATCTGACTAACATAGCTCCTACCTCCTACCTACCTACCTAACCTAGGTAGGTAGCTGGTGAATACAAATTGCTACTGCCGACCTGACCTGTCATTGCGGCAAGCCCTGGTCCTAATAATGATGGCACTGGATATTAATTAGAGTTTTTTAGACCTGTTTTTACCCCATCCTGGCTGGCATGGGAAAGAGTTGTTAGCTGATCTGTACAGGATGATTTGTATGAGTGCAACGGCGCACGGTGGTTCTCCACAACACACAGCTCACGTCACGTTGTATGCAGTGCCAGTGGCAGGTACATCAACATGCGTGGCGCCAAGATGCAGGACTGTTGTTGTAGTACAGAATACCTAACCCTCTCCACCGAGAATCACGATGAGTTATCACCTTAGATTTCTTCTAAGGCTGCTGTTCGCTATAATTGAACTGATTGGCGTCTTTTTTTTGCACACCAGCTCCTCCACTATAAATTCGCACACATCAACACAGCTGTAGAAACCATTCCATTTATTCTAGCTATGCCGCTGCCAACCACCAAGTCATCATCATGTCTAGTTTGACATGAATTTTACAATGAAATTTTTCTTGTCGATCCTCAAACTTACCAGCCACTCTTTCCACAATACCTTGTTTTGGATGGTCCTGCAAGAGACACTATGAATATTGAAATCCGGCCCACTACACTTCTGGCCTAGCTGACTTGGACAAATGGACGCGATTGATTCCATTCAGGCAAGCCCCGAAAATCCTTGTATACCCTGTATGACAGTGATATAGCCTGCGTAGTGAACAAGTGCATAAATCCATGGGAACGTGTTGTACTACTCTGAGGGACTCCCACGTGGGACTGACAACCCAGCAATTGTGGTCGTAGTGGAGCACCAGCTGATATCGTGTCATCGATACTAAAGCCAGACGATATAACTGAGGCTTGGCTTGAGGGATTCCGATCTCAGGTGGTACAGCGGACTCCATCCTGGCTAATTGTCCTTCTACCAAAGGGAAGGGCTCCGATACAGTATCGAGCTCAATTCATCCGCCTCAGCTCCCCAGTGTCGTCGGATTACACTGCGGTTCCACTGCGTTGAGGGTATGCGGTACAATCGAGATCCAGACCGCCATGGGCGACATCACATGACGACCCCTCGGAGAAGGCGCAGCGTCCAAAGCGGATTTGTTTCACGGGACCTCGTATTGCCCGAACAGTCCTTATTTCATCAATTTTCGGAGGTTTTCGGTGCCTGGAGAGGGTGGCGTGCTGGGTTGCGCCGCAAAGGCGGAACACGAAGATCCAGCGGGCAGTTATGTCCAAGGATGGGGAAGATCTAGGAGAGCACGCGGGTCTGCCACTACGATTAGACGCTATCCACGGTACGAAAGAGATGCGCACTGATCCCAAGAGGAAGACATACCACAAACTGCTCCAGAGATTCCTCGAAAAGCTCGTTGTTGACGCCCACTCCGCCAGGATGCTCGATCGGAGAAAGGGGATTTTTGACCACTAATGATCCCGTCAGACTGGTCGGGCGAGAAAACATGGAGAAAGGGAGAAGGACGGCGAAGGACGTACCATATTCGACATAGAGATTGACATAAATCTGATGCAGCGCTATCCGCATGCTGGGGGCCTTGGTGTCGGTGAGCATGACAAACTTGATGTTGGTGGGCGTCTCATAGTAGTGCAGTTTGTACTGGCTGGTCCGGTAGCATATGAAGCTGGAGAGACGAGGGACTCGTTAGCATCACCGACATGGAGCCAGACACGTGAGCGAGGGCAGCGGGATGCCGCACCTGTCATCCTCTCCGCCCAGCTTGCGCACCATGTTCCGCAGGGAGAAGACGGTGCCGAAGATGAGCTTCGCATCGTCGTCCGCACTCCGGGGCGAGCGTCCCGAACTCTGGGGCACGCCATTGCTCAGGGTCTGCACTTCGGAAGCAGGACGGGAGGGCTTGCTGCCAGTCGACACGGGGCGTGGGAGCCAGCGACGCTTGTAGATACACTCGGCTGGCCGAACGAGGGACACGTCAGTCGGGGGATTCTTGGACAGCAGAGGGCAGAGCGGGAGTTACCATGACGGTCAAAAATGTAGAAAGAGTAGACGGTCATCTTGCTCGCGCAACGACGGGCGTGTAGTCGCAGTCAACGGCAGTCAACTCGCAGTGCTGAAGCGGGCGTGGACTTGTCAGCAAGAACAGTCAGGCCAAGTCAACGGCGGCTGGTCTGGTTGGCTCCGCAGGCGGTGAGGCCCCCGTTGGATCTCTAGCAGCGCTGGCCGAATCAATCGCGCAGGATAAATGTTTCCTGATCCACCGGTTATCGATATCCCAGGCCAATCCAACGGCCTCCTTGCGGATTCTGCAAGAGCGCCTCGTATCTTCGTGCTTAACGGTGTCGAATATAGTAATATGGCCAGTCCCACCAAGCCCAATAACAGCCCTATGTTCTTCTAGACCGCAGGTTGCTATCGCCAGAGAGGCACGGCGGCCTGAGGATCTCGTCCGTTGTCCCCAGCCCAATTTCCCCCCAAACAAGAAGCTTCCCGCTCCCCTCACCACTCCCCCGCTCGAGGTCTGGAACTTCGAGTCTTCAGTCCACCTGCTGAGTTTTGGATCCCACGCCGCTCCTACACCCGCGAGATTACATGGCCAACAAGAGACTACGGATAGACCCGGTGCAGACAGCACCCGGTCCTCTGTCGGGCACCTCGACCGATAGTGTCGCCTCAGAGCCTCCAAGGCCAGTTCGGCATGCGTACGTTGTGCTCCCCTGAAATTTTTCCCGACTCTCAATATTGCTGTCTGCTCTTCTTCGAGTTGGTTCCTGGCTATGTGGCTTGAGGATTGATTTTCTCTATTATCACAGTTCGACTCCGTCGTATGAGAGTCCTCACCGGCACCAACACCGCCAGCCCACCGCCCCTCGTCGCGTGAAGGTCTGCTCATTCTCAACGAACCGATCAACGAGGATCTGGCTGATGGGGCCGCTGATAGGAAACTCTCGACGCGCGTTCGGAGTACACTACGAGTCAGGATGACGGTTCTGCACAGCATCGGATCAACCAGTACATCATCAAGCAGGAGATTGGCAGGGGCTCCTTTGGTGCCGTTCATCTCGCGGTTGATCAATATGGAAACGAATATGTGAGCCCTTTTCTCTTCCGCCATGGCCCCTGTTACCAAGAGGCGAAGTCAATTGCTGACTGGAAACGCGTCCTAGGCCGTCAAGGAGTTCTCCAAAGCTCGTCTAAAGAAGCGGCAGCAGTCTCACATGGTGCGCAGACCTCGTGGGCCCCAACGTCCCGACTCTGGGTTCAATTCTCCGCTTCATCGTCATCCATCGGGAAGCGACGACCAGCAAACGGGCCACCCCTTGGATCTGATCAGGCAGGAGATTGCCATCATGAAAAAGTTGAACCATAACAACCTCGTGTCTCTGATCGAGGTCCTCGACGATCCGACGGAAGATTCCCTATACATGGTGATGGAGATGTGCAAAAAGGGCGTCATCATGAAGGTCGGATTGGAAGAAAGGGCGGATCCGTATGACGACGAGAGCTGTCGCCTCTGGTTCCGCGATCTCATCCTTGGAATTGAATATCTGCACGCCCAGGGGATCGTTCATCGAGACATCAAACCGGATAATTGCCTTCTCACCAGCGACGATGTGCTCAAAGTGACCGATTTTGGGGTCTCGGAGATGTTTGCAAAGAACTCGGAGATGTATACTGCCAAGTCTGCTGGTTCACCCGCCTTCCTACCGCCCGAGCTCTGTGTTGTCAAGCACGGAGACGTGTCTGGAAAGGCTGCCGACATTTGGTCAATGGGGGTTACTCTGTACTGTTTGCGATATGGCCACATTCCCTTTGAGAAGCAGAGCATCTTTGAACTGTACGAGTCCATCAGAAACGACGAGCCCAACCTAGAAGGGGAGACAGATGAGGATTTCATCGACTTGATGCACAGGATTCTGGAGAAGGATCCCAACAAGAGGATCACCATGCCAGAGTTACGGGTCAGTCACCATCATTCTCGAGCTGCCATAGGGTTACTAATAGGTTAGCAGAATCATCCATGGGTAACCAAGAGAGGCACCGACCCGCTTCTACCGGAGGAGGAGAATACGGCGCAGCTGGTCGAGCCTCCTACGGAGGAGGAGATGAATTCGGCAATCACAAACAACTTGGGCAATTTGCTCGCCGTGGTAGCGTACTCCCGAGAGTGCGTCTTTAACGAAATAGGAAGACTAATCTCTGTGGACAGATGAAAGCCGTTCAAAGATTCAAGAGACTCGTGGATCCGGCCAAGTCATCAGGACTGCACAGTATCCTTGGCCAGGAGCATGAATCCCATTTCGTCCAGCCGCCTCAGGAAATGGATCCGGACGAAAGTCTTGACGCCCTCAACTCTTATAAGAGGGCCCTACGAGAAGATGAGATCGCTAACAAAGGATCTCGTCCGCAAGCTGTGTCCCGGGAACGAGGTCGGTCTCCGAAAAGGGCCGGCTCGGGCGGCGTTTTATCTACACATGGATCTGGCAGCCGTGGCGCGACCCCTGCGTTGCAGTCCTCTCGGGATGATACTCCTTCCACGAAACGGAGCATCTCGGAGGGGACGCGAGGCCATGCGCGCGATCCTTTGGAAGAAGAACACCCGTATCTTTTTATTGGACCGTCCACATTTACCGGTGAATTAACGGATGATCCCCTCGGTGACGGGGTGGTCCCAGGTCCGGACACCTCCATGGATGGGATCCCTGCATTCCCCAACACGCTGCCTCCCATAGATCCGAATGCCGTCCCGGTTGTCAGCGAATCGCCTGGTGCATCGGAGATTGACATCTACGAGACAGCGTATCGGGAGGAGATCGAACGGATCAAGAGACGGAACATGGCGCGACGCGACACTGTGACCAAGGTGTACCTGACACGGCGGGTAGAGAACAAGCAGAACCACCTGAGTGAGGTGTTGAAGCTGATCCGGCAAGCGGAGGAGGAGTCAGCATCGCACGCGACTGAGCCGATTCTCCAGATTGGTGATAAAATCTCGGAGCCTGTTGCTTCTGTCGGCGCCGCAGTCAGTGCTCTCACCACCCAACTTAAAGAGCAAAGACAGAAAGAACGGCCAGAAGCAGAAGCCAACGCGACTCCAACAGCGACGCAAGACAAGCAATCTATTTCTCCTTCAGCAAGCACCGACCAAAGCGCCAAATCCGATAGCAACCACTCGTCCTCAGCGGCCAAGCCATTCTCGTCCATATCTGACGTGGTTACAGAGATGGTTCACACGACCGCGGAGAAATCTCAAGGCGGACTGAAGGCCCTGGTCGAGCGAGTCAAATCCGGCGAGCACTCTCACGAGACCGGCACGACAGAGAATGCTGCCAAGTGAGAACTTGACCACATGAGTATAGGAATATATAGATGGAGTCAAGTCCAATGGGCAGAAATTATATATAATCCAGCTACTCTTTTATCAGGTCGTCAGCGGCTTAACCAGCTAGCTTAAAGAGTTTGTTTGAATTGGAAATCTGCTTACTACTAGGTATTACCCCAACCAGGCTACCTGTGCAGGCCAGCAGTGCTCTGTCCAATGGAGAGAAACTCAGCATACCGTATGATACTACACCGATATACATATGTATGTATCATCGCATTGATCAACATGCAACCGTTTCCATGCGGGCTTTAAATTTATTTATTTAGGGGCATTAAATCTTGAGAGAGGGGGGTTTTTTAATAATGTATATATTTTAATCTAATTTATCTATCTATATTCACCAGCAGATTTTAATACGATTCACACAAAGCGTATTGATTGATATGAAATAATAGTAATTTTTCAAGCTTGGATCTTCTTCTCTATACAGTTCTTCTTCTCATCGTCATTAGGGAATAACATATCTGATGATGGTCTGATACAAAAAGAGAGATAATGTACATACAAAATAGCAGCAAGCAAAAGCACAAACATGAGAAGAGTAGAAGAAAGTAAAAGACAAGAGAGAGAGGGAGATCTGTCTGCCTGTTGGAGTACAAGTCAAAGTCATAGCAACTGTATTGTCATCCCTGCAGAAAGAAGCTGAACATTGATAGATAGAAGGAAATATGTTGGTCCCAAGACTTTTCCCGAGAGCCGGGGATAGATGAAGGAATATATTTCCGCTCTTCTTTCCATACATACTGCGTGTCTGTTGAAAGGCAAGAATAGACAGAAAGAAAAAGGATAATTATCAATAAACAGACAAGATGGGAATACCTTCAAACAAAAAGACCCCGCAGAACATAGCATAGCATTGCACAATACAGGAAATCTTGGTACACAAAAACAAAAAAAAAACATGTAAAATGCATCAAAAAGGACAAAAAAAAGGACTCATATCCATACAATCATTAGAAATAATAAAAAAAGAGAAAAAAAAGCAGATTGTCATATGTAGGGTCAGTCAAGAAAACAGACAGAGAGAGCGAGCGAGTGAAAAGTTTCATATCCGCGTCTTCGCATAGTCGGTCGTCAACAAATCATCGACGCTTAAGACAAGGCCGTGGGTGCTCATAAGCATTAAGTAATTGGTAATAGACCGAACGACTGTACTTCTTTCCACCCTCTAAAAAAGACCATCAAAACAGTCAGGTCCATATTATTATCCATCCCCATTTCTTTTCACGGTGCATCTTAGTGTCGTATCGTGGTAAAGGAAAGCCCAATAGGCTCAACACCGTCTATCGCTCGTCGCTGTCTTAAAATTCATCATTCATATTTCCTTTTTGGTGTTCTCGCACGTCATGTCTCCTTCGTTTCTCCAGGGCGAGATATTGACTGGATCGTAGATCCACTGGCGATCATAGCGGGTGCTCTTTCGGCTTGTGTCATGGATGGCTGATCTGCTGCTGAGCGGATCATACCACCCTCTTGGCCCGAACTGGGAGAGCCACCCAAAGGCGCCTCAAGAGTTCGAGGGGGGAAAAAAGATTCACGGGGCGACGTTCGCAAAATGAAATCTCCCTGCCTGCTTTGTATCTCATGTGGTGGTGGCAACCTTCTCTCCTGATTTGCTTGCGAGAGTATTATGCCTCGTACTGGGTCCATCTCTCCTGTCACCGAGGATTCACTAGTACGCCGTACGCTCGTGTCCATTTGCCCTGTATCTTTTCCGCTTGAGCCTTCCGAAGGAAGCTCTAGTTTCTGCACTTCTGGAGTTTGAACTGTCGCTCTTGGAGACAACAGAGAGCCCTCACTGGTGGCACTCGCAGCACCAGATGGCGTGGATGAATTCTTCATCTTAATATTGCTTGATCTCCGTCGGGGAGGGTATTCTTCACCTCGTGCCTCAGCCTCAGCCTTTCGTCGTTCTGCTTCGGCTTTACTTGGTCGGCCTCGTTTCCGTGGAGGCTCTCCGCCTTTTCCCGGCACGCCTTCCCATCCAGGAGACATGGGACCTGGTGAGCCACTTTCATTGTTGAACTGTCCCGCACTGAGAGGTGGTCTGGGCTGGATGGCACGTGGAGTATGGGTAGTTTTCTCTAACGGCTGGAGTGGCCTTTTTCGCGGGACATTGCCCTCTTGGACTGGGATTGGAGCCGCGGCCGGAGCCGGAGCCGGAGTTGAAGCTAAAAGTGGACCTGCGGGAGGACCTGGTAGTGGAGCCCATGATCCCGGACGAGGTTGTTGTTGCAGGGCCTGCTGACACATGTTGTGGAAAGCATCTTGACATTGACTGAGAGTCCGACCTGGATAGAGCACAATGAGCAAATGCCAAACTTGAAGTAACTGAAAGCCGCCTGGAGATCTGCTGCGGGAGAGGAACTTGATCTAAGAGGCAGCTATAGGAGTAGCGGCGGTAATCTATACCTGGAGGTAATAGAATATCAGACCATGATGGCGATATATTAAGACTCCGAATCACATTAACCAAATGGTAGGAAGGAAATTGGTGAGCTTGCTTCAGGATTTCAGCAAGCAGAGCACACTGGATAGACAATGTATCAGTCATGGTCCCGTCTTCTTCATCTCAAAGCCAACACGTCATCAAAGCTTCAGCAGGAGGGAGTCATAACATGTCCATACCTTCTCCTCCTCGGTCCATGGCCTGTCCACTTGTCTCGACATATCCAGCGGTTCATGGAGAGATGTGTTGCAGACTTGGACAAGTACGATCAAGTGATTTACCACACGAGCGTAGCACCACCGGCGATAACCAAAGCAGCCAGGCAAGAATGTAACCAGAGGGAGGTTACAGATAAGAGCATAGAATGAAGAAACAGTCCAAGTCAGAATCGATAAGGAAAAGAATAAGGAAATAAAACTACACAAAAGCCTCCCAAGAAAGATAATCGGGGCGTCTAATTCAGCGTGTCACGCGGGGCTAGTCGTAATGGTGGAGGGGCAGACTGCGGGTCGAATGCACAGCGAGCGACTGGGACAGATGTCTGGTGGACAACAAGCAGGAAATGCAGGCATGAAGACAAGAAAAGAGTGGACGAAGCAGTGCAGAAACAGGTCATAAACATTGAGTGTTGGGGCTGGGCTTCCTGGACGGGGCAGAATCAGAGACGGGCAAGGCGAAGGCCAGAAAGAAGGAAGGGAAGGGACCTGGGCTGGGTCACAACACCAGAATAGAGGATGCAACTTATATTCTGTGTTGCACGTTCCTCTGATCCATAGGGGGTTTTTAAGGGAAAAAAGAAAGGGAAAGAGAGAAATTTTTTTACTGTTTTTCGAAAAAAGTGAAAGAAAGTGAACTGGGGCCCGAGAGCCACCAGAGCATTCGCAGGGGAGGGAGGC